AAAACGTGTTATGTGGAGTCAATTTTCCCACTGAAAATAATGGAAAAGGTGGGGGTTGCGTTTCAAGCGCACATGCGCTCGCAGCTCCAGCCTGCACTTGTTAACAGCTGGGACCAGGACATAAGGTTGGGGGAGAAAGGGGACTGGGTTATAGCAGGGAGGGGAGGTGTTTGGCTCTGGAGGAGGGAAGGGAAGGTCAGGGGAGGGGCTTGCAGTCAGCGCCTGGGTTTCCCCAGCTGGCCAGTCACCAGCAGCTGCGCGGGGCTTCCTCTGCCTCCTTACGAAGCGGCAGAGGTTTGCCACTCGCCACGCAGTTCCCCAGTGACCCCCCCCCCCGGCCAGATGCCTTGCGTCTGGCCAGAGGGGGTCACTGGGGAACAGCACTGCGAGCGGCAAACCTCTGCCGCTTTTCAGGGAGGCAGGGGAAGCCTCGCGCAGCTGCCGGCCACCAGCCAGCCCTAGGGGAAATCGTGTTATTGCAGGGACGGGGTATTGTTGTTTGAAAAATGTTCCCTAAAAAAAAAAATTGTGCTATCGTGAAAACGGGTTAAGCGGGCACGTGTTAAGTGAAGAATTACTGTACATGTCTAATCTGCACTGTAATTGGCCCTTCCACTTACTCACTCAAAGCCATATATATCTCTGAAGATTTTTAAATAATGCCTGCTGGACCCAGCATAACATGAGAAGGTTGCCCAAACAAGGGAAGATATGTATCCATTTCATTTGAAGGGAGGAACAAAAGGGCAATTTGTGAATATTCATGTAGAAGTGGAGTACCTCCTTTTTGAGCTTGGATCAAAAATGCTTCTTGTAACATGTAACAAAAGCTTAAGTATCTATGATGACTCCCTGATCAGATGCTTAGTTGCTCTCCAGGTGGCGTATTTTCATATTCTTATTGCTGTAATAATGGATTTAAATATCTCTATCTACAATATTGATTTCTTTAAGAACATGTTGAAATCTGAGATCTAAAGTTGACTGCATTGCCAGTTTCTCTCTGTCCCACAGAAAATCTTGTGCATTGTCCAAAATACCTGTCTCTGCACGTAACTGGTTGTTTCAATGTGTAGGAGATGGATTACTGCACCCTTCATCCTGTGGTAATATGAACAGTTTTGTTAATGTGCTGGTTTATTTTAAACTTACTTTGGGAAAAAGGTAAACTTGTCCCTGGGACAGTAAGCCAGCTTTACCGAATATATTTCCTGATTATCCTAAGTAGCTGGGGTGGTTTCTACCAGATGAGGGCCTACCCTACAGTGCCCTTCATGAGGCACAGGGACAGGAAACATGCACATCCTGGGAAACCTGAAACAAAAAAAGCTTTTGGGGTTGGACGGTTTTCCAGAGAATCAGACACTTGCTCTTACTACCAGGAAAGGCAGCAATGGCATCCTTCTATCATGTAATCTCTGTGTTATACCTTGGAGGAGCAGTGGCTTCAAATACCTGCTGAAATAGAGAGAACTTTCTGGGTGTCTGGCTGATGAGTCTTGCCCACATGCTCAGGGTTTAGCTGATCGCCATATTTGGGGTCGGGAAGGAATTTTCCTCCAGGGTAGATTGGCAGAGGCCCTGGAGGTTTTTCGCCTTCCTCTGTAGCATGGGATACAGATCACAGCTGGAGGATTCTCTGCATCTTGGGGTTTTCAAAGTATTTGAAGGCTTCAATATCTGAGATATAGGTGAGAGGATTATTCTAGGAGGGGTGGGTGAGATTTTGTGGCCTGCACTGTGCAGGGGGTCAGACTACATGATCATAATGGTCCCTTCTGCCCTTAAAGTCTATGAGTCTATGAAATAAGTCAGTCTGAAGATTCTCTCATTGGAAGGACACACAGATTTTATTCCCTTGTCTCAAGCCTCAGTGTCTGCATTGTCTCTCTTGTCTTCTCAAAGAGCTCACCAAGAAAACACTGATTTTAGTTTGCTATTCTAGTTTCTTCAGGTGGAACCAAGGGTCCCTAAGAGGTATCTTTCGTAATTTTGAATGTATAGCAAACTGGAGTAAGGTAAAATGTTGCTAGGAAAATCCATCCTAAAACTGATTTTATGTAAGGTGGGTGTGTGGGTTTTGTTTTTGGTTTTTTTTGTTGATGCACAATGGGCTCCCTGTTGAATACAGACCTGCTCAATAGGAAAAATGTAACCAAAAATCTCAGGACTCAAACTATAGCATAATCTTATTCTCCTTTACAGGTTGGCAGGAATGTTCCTTCAACTGATCTGACTATGGAGGCAATAGCAGGTTTCTGGCCTGGTTTCAGTGGAGGGAGCTTCCACACAGCCTGCTCAACTGTCTCAGCATGACCTCATCCGCATGCCACCTATGATCTGGTGTCACCACTTCCTGCTGTCAGTCCCCGTCCCCCCCAATGGCAAAGTATTGTCTTTCAAATCATCCTCAAAAAGAAAGATTGTTCCCAGGGCAACTGCACCTGTATTTCCCCTTACTGATTCAAGCAAGGACACCCATTCTCAGGATCCCCTGGCTGCCACCTGTCATAGGTGGAGATTCACATTTCTCCCTTCTGGCCAGAGTATTCCCAGGCTTAATAGTTTCCTGCTTTTTCTTTATAAAAAAAAGAACAAAGAGTCCAGTGGCACCTTAAAGACTAACAATTTTATCATGGCATAAGCTTTTGAGAGTTGCAACTCACTTCATCAGATGCATGAAGTGAAAGAAAAATAAATAGTAGGATACAGAGATAGGCATGTTACATCAGAGCTAATTCAATCAAACTGGTTTGTGTCTATTTATTCTGTTGCATAGAGACAGTCTGGTCTGTCCAACGTCCATGGCAGAGGGGCACTGTTGGTATATATCACATTAGTAGAGGTGCAAGTGAATGAGCCTTTCTACACAACAAAATAAATGGACACAAATCAGACATCAAGAACAGTAACATACAAAAACCAGTGGGAGAATGTTTTAACCTCCCTGGACACACAGTTACAGATATGAAAGTTGCCATTCTCAAGCAAAAAAACCTTCAAAAATAGGCTGAAATTGCTGAGCTGGAATTTATATGCAAATTTGACACCATCAGAAATGGGTCTGAAAAGAGCATGGGAACTGCTATCATTACAATAAGCAATTTTTCACACTGATTGAATTAGCTCTAACATAACACTCCCACCTCTGTATCCATATTGTTTTTTTTCTTTCACTTCATGCATCTGACGAAGTGAATTGCAACTCACAAAAGTTTATGCCATGATAAAATTGTTAGTCTTTAAGGTGCCACTGGACTCCTTGTTGTTTTTGCCAAAACAGATTAACGTGGTTGCTTCTGAAACCTGCCTTCTCTTGGTTATTCCCCAGCAAAAGATAGTCTGCCTAAACAGTCCTGCTTGCTTCTCCCCTCAGAGATGATATACAGTTATAAATTACCACCCAGCACTTCCTATGCAAGCCTATTTCATTAAAGTAAAAAACATTAAATAGAGGAAAAACATTAAAATAATAAAAACCTACATGCATACTAATAAAAAAATCACTAATTGCTACCAAAATAGGCTATGCCAGGTGAGTTTTTCAAACCCATGAAAGGAGATAGCTTTTGTGGTCAACAAGTCCAGAACAGACTCAGCTTAAAACTAGCACACCCTTGAAATGTTTAGTCCACCCTTTATCCAGTTCAGAAATCTCTAATCTGGAGTTTCCAGGAACAGGTTGTATACAATGGGTTTTTCTCCTTAGGGTATAGCTTCAAAAGGCCTCTCAAGTCCCCACTTCATAAATATTGATCCAAACGGTCTTCTGAAACATGTGCCTAAAAGGTTGCATACAAACCCATAACACAAACAATTGTATTTAATACAATGGATCCCAGTGGTATTAAACCTAATTCAATAGGTGTAATTTAATTCAAAAATGTTTATGCAGGATATTGCAGGAAATTGCCACCTGTCGCAGGCAACTTTAAGACAAAAACCTCAAAACCAATTATGAGACTTAAGGTGTTTAGTTTAAAGTATTTTTAAAATCCTGTGAAAACACTGTCACAAAGCAAGACCTGCAGTCGGTCACATGTGCAGATTGGAGGCAGACAATTCTAGAGAGTTATTCCTGAGGTATATTCCTAACCCCATGCTCAAAATCACCAGCATAGACATAATTATGCAGACAAGAGAGAGCATGCATCACCATAGCTGATGTAATGTGAGGAGGTAGTACTATTGTGCCAACAGAACTTACCCTCCTATTGGAATATGCTGCAATTATAGGGGAGGGGCTATACCAGCATAGCTATGCTGATATTGCTTTGCCAGCACAGGCTCTGTAGTATAGACATGGCCTTCAAATGACATTTGTTCCTACACTGTAGTACTGAAGACAGCATGGTAATACAAACTGAGAGGGATGGGATATCTTCAGCTTGAGGATCCGTGCTTTTTAATATACCTGTAAAAACTGTTTTATCTTGTCTGAACTGGATAGGCTAAAATGAGGTATAATGGCCAATGGTATAAATTTTGAGGGAATATTGACAAGAAGAATATAAGGAAGTATTTGACAGAGGAGACTTCGAGCTAAAATGGTAAAGTCAAGAAGTGTTTATGTGTTTTCCTAACATGTGACTGTTTACCTCAGATTGATTATATTAATTTGCTTAGGAGTACCTAACAACACTATATGTTGAAGGGATGAGAGCATGAGGAATTGGTGCTTTTGGTTTTGATTGTTTGCTGGGCTTTTCCCCAGACCGCTTTTAGCAATGTTGTTTTCTTGCATTTAATTGCATTTTGATTTCTTCTGGCATAACTTCTCCTTCCCTCTCGAGTATCTGAATTAAAAAAAAGTTTAAAAAAGCTTAAGCTAGCAAATTCTATAGTAGAAATGGCAGTGTCCTTAAAGCTTTCCATAAACATAGGATGCCTATGACCTTGCTTCAACACATGTGTAAACTAGAAGTGCAATGCCCCCTGATGGACAGTCCTCTTAGAGTGAAGAACAAAGATCACTAACAGAACGTAGTTAGGTCGGTTACCTGGATCTGGGCTCTGTTTCCAGCTGTAATGTTGGATATTGTCCAGCATGACTCCTTTTTGATAGATTCCTTAGGGCTGCTCAGCAAGTGTAATAAACTCTGCAGAGCTGAGCAATTCAGAATTACCTGAAAGTGGGGATGGGGAGGGGGAGGGGGAGGGAGAGAGAGACCTTAAGACTGTGTCTAGAATAGACAGCCATTTGAAACACAGGTAACCCTTAAAAGGAAAAGATCACCACCAACACTTATCTAGTACTTTTCACCAGATGCTCCCAAAATGTTTCACAAAATAGTAATTAATCCCCTTAAGTGAGTGAACATTGTCTTTATTTTATGGACAAGGAAACTGACACACAGAGAAATTAAGTGATTCAGTACAGGAACCACGTGTTCATTATGTGAGGTTCTGGATTCAAATGTGGTCCTAATGAACATGAAGGAAATTTTGGTTTTCTTTACAGACTGAGGTGCCTTAGACAGGCTCTGCATTCTTTGGCTTTTTAGTTTCCTGCCTTGCCGTCATAGCCTATGAAGCCTGGTACCATACTATAAACAGACTCCTGGATTCCAGTTGTGAAAACCAAGATTTATCCCAATATGCATTTCAGTGCTTAGTTATATACCAAAGAAGTTGGTTGTTCAATACAGAAAAGTTAACATAACCCTCAGATATAGGGTATAAACAATGCACTGTAACAATCAGAAAAATTACAACTGTCTATAGCACAACTTATGCTAAACTGAAGCAGAGTGTTTCTGGTTGCTATTAAGTCATCTTCCTATCTGAATTCAGGGTTATGAGATTGAAGAAAACGTATCAAAATGTGAACTAATCTTTGGGTTAGGAACCTGGGTTTTAGCTTTGGCACAGCCCACAACGAAAGGGAAATTTCGTTCTCTCAACCTAGAATTTGGAGGACATTAGACCACATCATGGAACCACCACAAAATTCAGTATGTTTTTGCTTGGGACACACCCAAAGAAGGAATACTCAGAGGACACTGCAGGTCAAGACTGACCAGCAGCTGTATACCTGTATGGGAACCCAAGATTCAGTCTTGACCATGCTGTTTGAATGCAACGATGGAGGTTTGCATGAAAGCTTGAAAAAAACACATGTTCCACTGCAATCAGTACCAACCAGTTCCCTTTCTGAGCTCCAAAAATGACAGTTTTTAATAAATGGAAATCTTAGGAGACTCGTGACTATATCAATTACCCATGCTAACTAAGAGAAAAGAAAATGGTTTTTATAAGACAGTAGCAGCAGAAACCATACCTGGGTCTGGATATCATCCCCTGTTACAATGTTCCCAACTGCTCGTAAGGCAGGAGATACCACTTTGTAGTCACTGTGCCTATAATTCAAAGCAGACTTAGATGAATCAGTCCAAAAGCATTTCCACTTCCACCCTTTAATCAGGACCCTCTGTCACCTTGCTAGTCATGAAGAATTTTTATGCCAAGTTTGACTGAAATTACTGATTTAGTTTTAGAGTTAGAGGCAACCTAACCATGCATTTTCATTTGAAAACTAGTAACTTTTAAATGTTTGACACTTAACTAAAGCTCAGGCTTAAAAAAAAAAATAAGGAAAAAACACCACAACCAACACATAAGATATGATTTTACAAAGTAAGTGCCACAACTTAGACTCTTAATTCTAAATAATAAAGGCACCTGAGTAAGTGGCCAGGTTTTCAAAGAGCAGCAAGCACAGAGATTCCCAGGTCAATAACAGGAGCCTAACTTTAGGTGCCTGGAAACTACTGTCTAATCCATTGAAATCCAGGAATATGATGATTAAACATAGGTCTCACAAGTCATAATCAATTATCTAGAAGTTTGATGAAAAATAATTTGCTATGATGGGGTACCACTATTTTTCCTTGACAATTTTATCAAAACTAAAAGGAAACTTCAGGATAAACTGTTAAGGAATATTAACATGAAATCAAATACATACATACACATATATATGTGTATATGTATGTATGTCTCAAAAATTGTTAGCTTGTGAACTGATTTTCAGAAGTGCTGCACATCCACAGTTTTATTGGATAGGAGTTGCTCGGAAGTGCTGAAAAATCAGTCATCTTAAATCTAGTTAATTTTAAAAATTTAATTGAAGTGGTTATCAATGTTCCCTCTAATCTTTTCCATCCATGCGTGGAATAAGTTTGTATGTGTAATGAAGCACATATGAATGTGCACCACCAGGAAAACATAAACCTAGCTCTGGGCACTATGCTAATTAGATGGGCAGTATTTGACTTTCTCATGAGCAGCCACACTAGCGCACAGCTTACAGGGAATGTAATATAAGTCAATAGGGTAACATGTTTGCTTTTTTTGCAACCATCATTCTGAGATGTATTACGAGTATTGAAGCAAGCCCCAACTGGAGTATTGTGTCCATTTTTAGATGCCACATATAAGGAAAGATGTGGACAAACTGGAGAAAATCTAGAGAAGAGCAACAAAAATAAGTAAAGCTCTAGAAAGCATGACCTATGAGGGAAGACTGGAAAAACTGGCTTTGTTCAGGCTGGAGAAAAGAAAACAAAGGGGAAATGCTAAATGTTTTCAATACATAAAAGTCTGTTTAAAGGAGGAGGGAGAAAAATTAGTCTCCTTAACCTCCGAGGATAGGATAAAACACTACGAGTTTATATTGAAGAAAGCGCGATTTTGGCTGGACATTAGAAAAAAATGCCTAACCATCCAGGAGGTTAAGCACTGGTATAAATTGCTCAGACAGTTTGTAGATTCTCCATTAGGGACATTAGATAGCAGGTAATAGAACAGTCGACTAACCTAATGAATTCTTAGCGGTTAGTCAACTATTCTATAGTCTGTGGGGGCAGGGCAGACAGCCACTGTGCTCCAGCCCCACTCCCGGGGAGCCCCCTGCTACTCTATGCTGCTACCTTTGTGCCAGAGGCAGCAGCGTGGGGTGTCAGGTGGGAGCCAGTCTGCAAGGGGAGCCAGTTTAAAAACCAGTGCACCCCTTCCGGACCGGCTGCCTGTCGCCCCACGCTGCTACCTCTGATACAGAGGCAACAGCATGGGGTGGAAGCAACTCCTGTGTGCAGGGGTCTGAGCTCCCTTCAGGGGAGAGAATGAGGGAACCTGGGGAGAGGACGAGGGAGGCTGCCACAAAGCAGTCTCTGTTCATGGTGGCCAGGGCTGGCTGCAGCCCTTGTCTGAGGTGGGTCCAAGCTCCCTGCTGACAGCGGCTGCTACTGAAAGAGAGGCAGCAGTGCAGGGAAGAAACACAGGCGGCACTGTGGAGCCAGTGCTGGGGGGAACTGGCTTTTAAGCCGACTTTCGCTTCCCCCATGACCCTGCTTACTGTCTCTGATACAGAGGCAGCAAGAAGGGGGAGGGGGCCGGAATGTGAGTAGATGACTAAATTAGCCAATAAGCCTAGGTGTAGTGGGCTCTGCCTGGCTCAGCTGGAACAGCTCCCTGCCGATGATGCTCTGAGATGGACCCTAACTGGCCCAGCTAGTCCACCATGCCATAGGCTACTTCAGCCAAGCCACTGTACCTCAAGTGGGAGGGCTGCTCCAGTTCAGCCAGGCAGGGCCTGCTGCTCTACGCCACAGACAGGGAGCTGCTCAAGCCAAGCTGGGCCACCATTTAAATGATTACCTCGGTAAGCATGCCAGTAAGGCAAATACTTACTGGGTAACGGGTTAATTGGTTAATCCTTTACATTACTACCAAAAGCACAAAAACTAATTACAAAAAAGAAAAATCTAATCTCTAAGGACAACTTTAGTACACAGAATTATTTTGATCATTAGTTCCTTAGTTCTATTTTAATTGTTAGGATTTTATTTCTGCTTTTATTAGTCACTAAGGGTGTCTACACAGTACCCTAAACTCGAAATAAGATACTCAATTTGCACTATGCAAATTGCATATCTTATTTCAAATCTATTCTGAAATAACTTACTTTGAAATCTGGCACGTCTACACAGTGCCAAATTTCGCAATAATGCGCTATTTCAGGCCATCCCTTATCCCTCATGCAACGAGGTTTACCAGGATTGCAAAATAGCATGCCTGTTATTTCGAAAAACCAGGCAGCTTGTGTAGACGCGAGGTAACTATTTCGGGGTTCCTCTGGTATCCTAAAATAGTCGTGCAGTGTAGAAATACTCTGAGTGTAAATTAGAATTTCTTTTTAATAGGAAACTGAATATCTCTCCTCAACACCAGACAAAAATTCCTCAGAATAGACAAAAAATAAATGACTTGTGACTATATCTTTGAGTGGATGGCATTCTGGCAAGCAAAATGTCCTCTTATGAATAACATCTCTATTGGAGTAACAACGGCCTTACACAATTATCTACATGTAAATAACCAGAACCTGTCATTTCTGATAAAGTAAATCACCAGAACCTGTCACTTCTGATAAAGTTTAATTAATTCTGAAATTGCCATATCTTTTCTCATTCTTAGTGATTCCATCATTACAGGATGGCAATATGATCCTTAACAGGATTGAGAAAATTCTAGGAAATGTACAATAAGATGCTGATATTCAAAATTGGTATCCTTTCTGTGAGAGAAAGTAACTAGTATATATTACACATTCACAGGCTGCGCTACCTGCTGTTATTCCTGGCCATTGTATGTGTCTGCTCAATATAAAAAGGTCAGGAAAATAATTTGGAGTACAGCTTGGGCCTCTCTGGTACAGCACCCTCAGGACCTGACCAGTCCCGAATGAGGGAATTTGCCAGATCAGAGGAGGTCCCTTGCCACCAACCTCCCAGGACTCTGCCCCTTCCTTCTGCTGGCTCCACTCCAGCCCCACTGCTACAGGGCTTGGGGTTTCGTTCTGGCCCACTTCTACCAGCTGGCTGGAGCTCTCTGGGGATGGAGCTCCCCAGCTGCTGTGATACCACTTCTGCCCCGCCCGGCTGGAATTTCCCAAGGACAGGGCTCCATGGCTGTCCCGCTTCTGTACTGCATGGCTAGGGCTTCCCGGGGACTGGGCTCCACGGCTGCTTTGCTAGGTTGGAGCTCCATGGCTGTCAGGCTGCTGTCACACCAAGTCAGGGCTCCGCAGTTGCCATGCCCAGCTGGGGCTCTCTGGGATGGGGCTCTCCAGTCCCAATGGTAGGGCTCTCCCATTGCTGGACTCCCAACCGGCTCACACTCCCGGATGCTGGGGTTCTCTGGTCCAGCAACATCCATGATCCTGCCAGACCACGGATATTCCCAGACCAAAGAGTCCCCGATTTAGGAAGTTCAACCTGTATTTAAATCTGTGTATTATCAGCTGCTATATATTTATTTGTAGAGAAGTGAGTTGAAAATACTTAAGTATTTGAGAAAATTTTAGAAATAGATGAGAACTGCAATAAAAACATTTTAAAAGTGGTTTAAAATTAGTTATTCTTTACCGTAAATTTAATGCATCTATTGCTTCCCAAAGGAGATTTTGCTTTTGTTTCTTTTCTTGAACCACATGTTCCTTTTCAAAGACACACTATTGTCATATACCATGACTGGATAATCAGTTTACCAGGTCAACATTTAGATCAGTCTTAAGGAACAAGATAAATGTATGGAAAAATAAGCATCTCAGACTATTTCTTGATAGAAATGTAGCCGTGTTAGTCTGGGGTAGCTGAAGCAAAATGCAGGACAATGTAGCACTTTAAAGACTAACAAGATGGTTTATTAAATGATGAGCTTTCGTGGGCCAGAAAGCTCATCATCTAATAAACCATCTTGTTAGTCTTTAAAGTGCTACATTGTCCTGCAGACTATTTCTTCTATTTATGATTGATCAATGGTATCATTTTACTGAACGCCAAACGGAGAAAAAAAATAAAAGTGGTACTGTTTCCTGTTATGACAGACATCAGAAAGAAATGTAGTAGCATCTTTTTCATTATTTTCTCTCATGATGCACTTTTAATAAGTGATCATTAGGTTTTATTTATTTATGGTTACCCTCTAACCGTTTTAGCTAGATAATTATACATTTTATTTAATTTCTTTGCTGCTCTTTCTTCACACATTTGGTAAGTATTTGTATTTACATAGGCATGTCTTGAAAGTTACAGAGAAGTCTAAGATGTGTACAGACTGAACTGGTTTAAGTCCCATTTTTGTAACATCAATAAAAGATAAACTGCTACAGTTTAGTTTTATGGGGACCTTAAAAAGCTATTTTGAAAAAGAACTTGATTTTGAAAGTATTGTTTTATACTCTAGAATAATAATTCTAGACAAGCATTTTTTCTAAAACTGTCAGCATAAATTTTAAAATTGTGCACCTATCATCAGGTTACTAAGCTGATATTTAGGTATAAAAAAAATAAAAGGTCAAAATGATTAGAAGTGCTGATCAAGTGCACCTCCCAAAGCCAAAGGTAGTGGCAGAGAGTCTGCATTTCAGAATCTATCAGTCCACTTTTTCTTAGGGGTCTAAACATGTTTTAGATGTCTAACTTTGGGCACCAACGATTGAAAATATTGTCCCCAAATTTTAACCCCTTTGTTCTGAAGCTGATTTCAAATCCCAGTCCCTCCAATTCTCCCATTTCCAGTGTTTCCCTCTAAGATGTGCAGCAGCACAGGTCCACAGGTGATTAATCAGCCCCACCCATTCAGTCAGTCCTGAGCTGCTGACTGGGTGAAGAGGATTAAGCACCTGTGAAGCTGAGATGCCCCGCAGCTCAGGGGTAACACTACCTATGCCCCTACTTTCTTGCACAGGAAAAGTAGCAACCAAGTCTGAGAATTGCTCTTGGTCTATAGTCCTCATTCACCTACTTGCTATTGACGGCTCTTCTACAGCAGCCTTGGAGAAAATCAAGGACTGTACAAGAGGTGAATAAGCTGGCTTTAAGCCAGGAAATAAAGGGTTTAACCCTACTATTGAAGAAATTCTACCTAATATTACTACTGCAGGAAGTTGGGTTGAGAGAAAGATGCGAAGAGGTAACAGTAATACATTTGTTTAAAGTGAAGTTCTTACATCAGCAGCTCCACAAGTCTTCTGCACACTCCTGCATCAATCACAGCTTGGATTTTATCATTAGGCCCATCAGACAAATACGACAGGGCCCAGCAGGCGTCAGCTAGTACATCTGTGTCATTGACAAATAGCAGCCAGGACAGCACACTCAGACAGGGTGCAACCTATACCAAGTAGAAAAAGCAGATGTCTGAATAGTGGAATTCAAAGGGCCAAGAATATCAGCTAACCCTGCTTTTGACTGATCAGTAAAATATACAGGTACTCACGCTAGAATGCTTAAAGAACCTAAACAATACTTCTGTGTTCAATTTACATGGGGAAACAGAAATGAATCCTGCTTCAACCTCAGAAGTGTAGACATGGTCAGACATATAGCAGCACATATCACCACATGAGGAAATGGAACCATCAGTGTGACATTCAAAATAAATCTGTTATCCAGCAACACATTTTCAGACTTGTGCCAGTTTGAGTGACCATAAGTAAAATGGCAGCAGCTCAAGGTGGTGTGGTATTAGTGAGAAGTCTTAATACGTCTATGCAGAGCCCCACAATTTCCTGCTGCTACAGACCCTGTCCCCGTGGGAGTGACTATTTCTTGGCCATTCATTGTTACTGAACAACATTAGACTATGCAACTCAGCAACCATCCTGCCTGTGTCACTTGTGGCAGTGCCCTATGAAGACTTGCCAATACTGATTATTCCTCCTGGTTCCAACTAGATCAGGGTGGACAATAATTTTTAATGGGGGGAGGGGGCACTCCAAGATTTTGGTAAGTGGTCAAGGGCTGCACGTCTGTGGAGGCGGGGTGGGATCTGGGACAGCTGGTGGGGTGTAGAAGGGAGCTTGAGAGATACAACTAGGGTGCAGAAGGGAGTACAGGGTCTGAGAGGGAGTTTAGGTGAAGGAAGGGGTTATAATCTGGGGCACAGGCTTGAGGTGCAGGGTCCAGGAGGGGTTATTATGGGGGCAAGAGAGGATTCTGGCCTGGGGGAGGGATGTATGAGGAGGTGCAGTGTCTGGGAGGGAGTTGTGACCTGGGGGGGGAAGGGGATATAGCAGGTTTGGGTGGTGGCCTGGGGCAGGTAGTTGGGGGGAAGAGGTGGGTGGAGTCCCAGAGGCAGGCGCTGTCTGGAAGGTGTTTACCTAAGCAGTTCCCAGCCAGAAGCTCTGCAGACTCTGTAGCTATCTGCTCGGTTGGCTGTCCCACACGGCTCTGCTCCAGCACAGGAACAGAGGGAGGGGAGGGAGAAGACTTCATTCGTTGCCCGGCTTCAGCACAATTTCTTAGCTCCTATTGGCCAGAAACTAGCCAAAGGGAACTTGGGGATTTTGCTAGGGGATGGGAACAGCACACAAAGCTTTCTCCTCCCTGCCCAGATTGCAGACCAATTAGCAGCCTGCTGTTTAAAGCAGGTGCTCCTGCTCTTGCTCTCTAGTAAGGGTGTCGGTGAGGTGACCACGGGCTGGATTCATTTCTCTAGCCACCTCCCGCCCACCCCTGAACTAGATGCATGCTGTGTACACATCACTTTGTACTATGAATCAGTGCCAGAATGCATAATAAAGGCCAGGCTTTGCTCAGCACAAATAGATATGACACAGCATTGAAGACATAATGGATAAGATTGCTGGCAGTTTGATTCATACTTCCCAAGTCCTTCCCCACGCCACATGTATCAGATATTTATTGGGGCTCTGCCTGAGAAATGAGACTCAAGTTTAAGGAATTCGTGGGTTGCTTCCAGACTCCACAGGGTTGACTGTCACAGGGTTCTGTGAGGAGAATTCACAAAGTGTATGGAAGGACGAACATTCTTCCACTCCAATTCTTCTGATGAAGTAGGTTTTACCCATGAAAGCTCATGACCTAATAAATGTGTTAGTCTTTAAGGTGCCACAGGACTGTTCATTGTTTTTAATCATTCTTTCTGCACGTTAAGTCTTCATTCCACATACAAGGTCAGCAAGACTAGTTTGGAAACTGAGTTTTTCATCAAATATCTTTCTCCAAAAAATACTAGCCATTCAAAAACCCCATTTCTACCAGTTGCCCATGAGGTAGAGTTAGAGATCTCATTTTAGTTCCTTGTGGAGAGCTGTCTACATCAGTGTTTCACAACTTTTTTTTTTTTAAATAAAGTATCCCTTTTAAAGAAAAAAATTATAAGTACCCCCAGTGCCTATAGTTTTCAGACATACAAACTTTTTTTCTACCACTTCAACACATTTGTTTAAACAACTCAATTGTAGCCAGGCGGGTGATGAAATTTTTGGGTGTAAAAAGTGCAAAAATAATAAAGCGCTGTAAAACAAAAATTCTGTTTTCTCCAAATTTCAGTTGTGTCGATGTATCCCCCAGACTTCTCTCAAGTACCCTTGAGGGTACTCGTACCATTGGTTGAGAAACATTGGTCTATAACATAAAAACACCATCTCAGCTGGTAATAAGACACTCCCCTCCTTGTTGGTCTCAACAGATGGGGCAAAGAGTAACTGGATCATGAAAAGTGAACTCACTCATTTCTAGAGGTGGTGTCCATGGTAGAGGTAAGACATATTGGCAAAGGCAGTACATAGGAGAAACTTGCACTGCAGCTGACTATATCCTATTCTTGATTCATAGAATCAGGTACTTTACTTCCCAAACTAACAGATTTATTGGAGCATAAGCTTTCGAGGGCAAAACCCACTTCGTCAGATGCATATCACAGTATCTGACAAAGTGGGTCTTTGCCCATGAAAGCTTATGCTCCAATAAATCTGTTAGTCTATAAGGTGCCATTGGACTTCTCGTTGTTTATGCAGATTCAGACTAACACGGCTACCCCTCTGATACTTCCCAAGCTGTTAATCTATACACCTTTCAACAACACTATGCACACTCACAAACAAGCCTGATTTGTAAGAAGTCTGTTCAAATGGAAATTTTGTAAGTCCCAAACATTTCTGCTGCTTCGTACTAAATATCACAATCACTCTCTTTCTTCCTTAGTCACAGCCATCATCTCACTACCTCTCCAATCCCTGAATTCTTGAACACATTTCCCACCTTGGCAAACTCTGGAGGAGGATTCTTCCCTCTGCAGAGGTTCGACAAAGCCCACACAGCGTTTCGGGTCATGGTGAGACGGTTCTGTTTTGAAAGTAATCTGAACATGAAAAACAAAACAAACAAAAAAACACCAGTCTTTACTTCTAAACTCAGTCTAAGAACACTTTTGTGCTATTATTCCAGGTGCATGAAGTATTTAAAGTGGCCCAAAGTGCAGCTTAGAAAGTTTACATTAAACCTGTGTCATTTATGAAATAAAAATCAATCATACATGCTCTCAGCCTGCAGACCCAACCCCTGTGGATCATGCTAGTCCAGTAGCATTTGTGATGTCCCAGAAATAATGTTTGAGCTGGGGAAGGGTTCAGATTTGACTGGAGGCTCAGCTGGGGGGAGTTTCAGTGGGTGCTGGGCAGCTGCCCAGCTCTCAGGAGCTCTGGAGGCAGCTGGGGCCTTGATGTCCACCTGGCTCTTGGACACTCGGGCAAACTTGAGCTCCAGGGCTGAGAAGCAAGGGCTTGAGGCCACAATGAGGTAAAGGGGGGGCTGAGGCCTGAGGGTGCAGAAGAGGTGGGGCTCTGGGCAGAAGGGGCAGGGCTGAGGGACTAGCCATAACCTGCCTCCCCAAGCTAGGGGTTCTTTTATTCAAGGGCTACTTTTATTCAAGATTCCCCTGTTTATGCATTCCAGGGTCACATTAGCTCTATTGGCCACAGTATCACACTGGAAGTTTAACCATCCTGACCCTAAGGCTTTTCAGAGAGTGTTCCCCATGCTGTAAATACAGCCTACCTTCATTACTCCTAAATGTGTACATCTGCACGTAGCTGTATTTAAACACATATTGCTTGTGCCTAGTTTACCAAGTTATCCAGATTGCTCTGAACCACTGATCTGTCCTCTTCATTATTTTCCACTTTCCGGGTTTTGGGTCATCTGCAAACTTTCTTAATTAAAATGTTATGTCCAGGTAATTGATAAAACATATTAAACAACACTGGAACTCCACTGGAAACTTCAGCTTGATGACAAATCCCCACTGATAATTACATTTTGAGACTTGGACAATGAGTTAATATCTTTTATTGGACCAACCTGCCTACAACACTATCAGCCAGTTTTTAATCCATGTAATGTGTAATATGTTAATTTTATATTGTTCTAGATGTATAGTCAAAATGTAGTATGGTACCAGTCAAAAGCCTTACAGAAGTTTAAGTCTTTTACATGAACAATCATCTTTATCAACCAATTTTGCAATCACATAAAAAATAAATCAAGTTAGTTCAACAAAACCAACTTTCCATACACCCATGTTTGACTTTCACTACGTCATTTGCTATTAATTGGTCCCTAATTGGCTGCTCCATTATCTTGCACAGGATCAATGTCACACTAACAGGCCTTTAATTTACTATTTCTGGAACTTCTCCAGAACACTATGACTTACTTAAAATCAATAATGATCCAGCAAGCACTGCAGCCACCTCTTTCAAAGCATCTCAGGGAAACAATTACTGCAAGGTAAATAAATTCTGGGTTTTTTTTTTTTTTTTTATTGATTGTTCAAATATTCTGTTCCTGGTGACTAAAATAGAGTATCCCTAACAAGTAGTATATGAAAGTGACAGGAAGGTTACATGAAGAGTAAGAGGAGGAATGCTCTGCAAAAAAAAGTGTCCAACCTGCATGCTTGTACCAGGGAACAATAAGTGTCGAAGATGCAGATCTGTCCTACACAACTCTGATGTGGGGATGTTATCTAAGCAGGCCATAAAGACTGCCTGAGCCTACAGAAGGAACTTCAACATGTTCGGGTGGATTTCTCAAACAAAACACTGACAGGTCAGACACCAGAAGTTATTCCTTAACCCTTTCAACAATGGCCACAAAGAATCTAGGTGTACATCTGAATAACTTAGTCCTAGACAAGTAAAATGACTATGCTTTCATAAAATCCTACATGTGAAGTTTAGCCTGGGGGCGGAATACAGTTTGGAGGGGGGAAAAGGAATGAATCAACTGATTGATGCAGAAGTGGGAAACCACATCAGTATTAGGCAGAAACTGCAGGTGAGATCTGAGACTATGACTTTGTCCTCATGAAAGACAGCATATAGAGGTCCCATCATGAGGTCCTGAATATCTTGCTAGCTGATGTGACAGCCACCAAAAAGGCCATCAACAGATGTTAAATAGAACATGTAATCAGTGACTCAAAGGGAGGACCTTCAGTGAATGCCAGACTGATATTCCAGGACAGAGGGTGAGTGGCTGCTGGGTAAGCAGAAAAACACATGAACCCCTAAAGGAAGCACTGCAGTCTGCAAGACAACAACATAAGTTTGTACAGAAGAATGATTTACAGCTATAGATCATTTTGGAGAAATTAAATAGTCTAGAATAGCAGAAACCAGGACCAATGTCCTCTCTAATTTTTTGCATTCATGTGCAAAATAGATTTTTAGTGTGCACCACCAATAAAAACACAAAATCAAGCTGGGGGAGCTCTGCTAATCATCTGGGCAGCATTTTAATTTCACCTGAGTGGCCAAGTGCACAGCTTACTGGGAACACTGACCAGGCCTGCTATAAGCAGTGCAATGCCTAGACTGAAAATCTCTCCACTTGATTCTAAATGTCAGTCTGGTTGAGAACTTCTTGCTTAGGACAAAGAGGTCTTGAATCTTAGCAGCTTCTTTCTGTAGACATCAGTCAGCTAGAATTCAGACTGTCATGTGCAAAGAACATGATATCTGGTTGCAAAATCTGGCTGTTATTCTGCAAGATCACATCTGGTTGGACCATCAAAGTGATGAATCATTGTACTGACAGGTTCACAATGGACTAGTACAGTGTTTCTCAACCCTTTTTTATAAAGTGCCCCCTTTAAAAAAAAATATAAGAACCCCCAGTACCTATAGTTTTCAGACACACAAACTTTTTTTCTACCATTGCAATACATTTGTTTAAACAACTTAATCGTAGCTGGGCAGGCGATTAAATTTTTGGGTGTAAAAAGTACAAAAATAATACAACGCTGTAAAACTTAAAACAAAAATTCAGTTTTCTCCAAATTTCTGTTATGTTGACCCCCCAGACTTCTCTCAAGTACCCTTACGGATATTCGTACCACTGGTTGAGAAACACTGGACTAGTCCACCAAAACTATCTGGCCCATACTGGGTCTATCCTAATTCACCCCAATTTCCTGCGTCAGTTTCCTCAAAACCCAGTGTACCATGGAACCCTTGAAAATGTGTGCACAGCACGAGTCCATGGATAATTAAGGGGTCTGAGAAGGAGCTCAAGCTCATGCAACCACTGGAGCAGAATCTCAGGCCACAAACAGGTCCTCATGTGGGAAAGCGAAGTTACTCACCTTCAGTGCAGTAACTGTCGTTCCTTGAGGTGGTGTCCCAGCGGGTGCTTCACTATGGGTGCTGGGCTTGCCCCAGCACTGCAGTGTTCGGCCGGACCGCCCATGTGCCACAGGCTCGCGGCTTTCGCGCTCTTTTCTCTCGCAGGAACTGCCTCGGAGTCTGTAAAAGACAAGAGCAGAGAGAGAGAGAGAGAGAGAGAGAGAGAGAGAGAGAGAGAGAGGGGACTCTGAAGCGGGGAGGAAGGTGGGCAGTGGAGCACCCATGGGGATACCACCTCGAAGAACGACAGTTACTGCACCAAAGATGAGTAACTTCGCTTTCTTCTTCGGAGATGTCCCCGTGGGTGCTCCACTATGGGTGACTGCATAGCAGTAGTCACCAGAATGGAAGGAGAGCAAGGAGTCCCTATTTATCTGCTGTGGAGAGCACCGCAGTCGCCACTGCCCCATCTAAACGAGTGCCTAGAGAAATAGAATAGTGTTTGGTGAAGGTCTCATGTGAGGACCAAGTCACCGTCCTGCAGATGTCCTTCAGGGATATCCCTCTATGAAACGCTGTAGCTGTGGCCATGGCTCTAGTGGAGTGGGCACGTGGTTGGGATGGGAGGGGTAAACATTTCGCTGCGTAAGATTGCGTTATGCATGAGGTTACGAGATCGGAAATCCTCTGGGAAGATAGGCGTTGACCCTTCAACCTCTGTGCCAAGGAGACAAATAAGTGGTCCATACGCCTGAAAGGTTTAGTGCGATCTATGTAGAATGTTAAGGCCCTCCGAGTGTCCAAGGAGTGTAGGGCCGCTTCTCATAGTGAGGCATGGGGCTTCGGGAAAAAGGTTGGCAGAATCACTGGTTCGTTGACATGGAAATGGGAGATGATTTTGGGTATGAATCTTGGGTGTAGTCTCAAGACTACTCCATCCTTACGGAAAATTGTATATGGTGGCGTGGCCATCATGGCAGAAAGCTCGCTCACTCTGCGTGCCAATGTTATGGCAAGCAGGAAAACAGTTTTTAAAGTGAGGAAATGCAAGGATACAGTCGCCAGAGGCTTGAATGGCATCCTCATTAGGGCATCGAGGACTACATCCAGGCTCCACACCGGTGGGACTGGGTCGTGCGGTGGGGCCATGTTGGTAAGGCCCTTGAGAAATCTCTTAGTAGTAGGATGGGCGAAGACAGAAACACCATCTATCGGTGATGTGAATGCTGATATTGCTGTGAGGTGCACACTGATGGAGACAAATACGAGGCCTTTGTCCTTTAGGTGCAACGCGTAGTCCAGTACGGAGGGAATCGATGGACGTCTTGGATCATGGTGGTTCAAGGTACACCAGGAAGAGAATCTGCGCCACTTGTGAAGGTAAGTTTTTCTCGTGGTTTGTCGTCTGCTGTGTACTAGGATGTGTTGGACTGGAACGGAGCAGAGGAATTCGAGTGGAGTCAGCCAGTTAGGAACCATGCTGTTAGGTTCAGGGCTTGTATCTGGGGTGTTTCAGGCGTCCTCGGTCTTATGTAAGGAGATTGTGGAGAGGCGGAAGGAGGATCGGTGTCCGCACGGAGAGACGGTGGAGGAAGGGAAACCAGTGCTAGCGAGACCAGTCTGGGGTTATGAGGATTAGCGTTGCCCTGTCCGCCTTCAGCTTCTGGAGGACTTTGGGGATCAGAGGTACCGGGGGGGGCAATGCACAGAGAAGGGGTACGCCCCAAGTCGGGCG